ACTTTTAATTTCATTTTATTATTTAATGCTTTAATTAATAAATTTATTTCAATTTCAGTAAAGGCGTTAGTATATAATCTAACACCTGAACCTGTAAAAGTTCTATCATCCATAATCCAATAAGTTTAAGCTATAGGAGTTAAATATTGTTCTATATTTAATGGTATAATTTTTTTATTATTTTTATAAAATAATTCGTAAAATTCATTAAAACAAGGAAGACTTAAAGTTCTAAAATATATATTATATTTAACTTTACTATTTTTTTTTTATCTAAAACAGTTATTAAAGAAGGATATTTTTTAACAAAATCTTTAAATATATCATATAAATGATATAAATATTTTTCATGAATTTTACCTTGTCTAAATACCAATCTAGCATTAGCTTTTGGAGAAAATCTTGTAATATAAAGATCTCCCAAAATAATTCCTACTAATACTTGTTTTTGAAAATCATTTAATTCAAAAGAAGATCTTTGTAATTTATTTAATCTATATAATTTATTAATTTTAGAATTCGTTCTAAAAAATCTTAATAATTTTTTTAATTGTAGCTATTAATTTTATAAAAATTGGATTATATCATTATATAAATAAATTTATTTATATATTTAGCGTGTAATCTCTGAGGATATTGATTATAATATAAAAATATTATTTTATTTCCTGCTGATTATTCATTATAATATCTTTAAGATTTTTACAAAATCTGTAGTATAAATTTTGTATTTAAAGTATTAGAAACTTCCAGCATATAGCTAAATTCAATTAATTTTATTTTAAATTAATGGGCCTACATTAGACCAATAAGATGTAACACTATTAATGCTGCTAAGATAAAAGGTAATAAAAAATGTAAACTAAAGAATCTATTTAAAGTAGCATTACTTACAGAAAAACCGCCCCAGATGAACTGTACAATATCAGTACCAATAAAAGGAATAGCAGAAAATAAATTAGTAATAACTGTTGCACCCCAATAACTCATTTGGCCATAAGGTAAAACATACTATCTTTCATTAATCTAAGATTAATGGGAAGAATTTCGACTGTGCATTAAACATCATATACGAGATGAATATATTCACCTCCTTCAGACACCCATTAGTGATCCAGTCTGTCGCGATTATTTATTTAACCGACGATCTGTTCCATTATATTTATAATGGCCTTTGATCGTTTTCACTAATGTCACCAAATCCCCAATCGACTCCTAAAAAGAGCGGTTATTGATGGACTCAACGATTATGTATAATCGTCTTACTGTTGATTATATATATTCCCAATAAAAGTTAACTATATATAACTACTTAACCGATAAGTATAAAATATAAAATATTTAAACCATTTAACATTGTTAAATGGTTTGCTGTCTGTAATTATATTTGTGGGAGATCTTTTATATAAGATTTCCAAATATACTTATTAGATAAGTACCAGTAAAATTATCATTGAATATTTATTTAATTTTCCATTATTTTAAAATAATTTCTATAAATTTATTATTTTCTCTATTAGTAGAGTTAGAAAAATTTTTTTTATTTTCTGTGAAATTATATAATTTCTTTATTAAATCTTTATTATTAGAATCTTTTATATAAGGATATATACCAAGATTTAATAATATTTCATCTATACTAAGAACTCGACTATCATAGATATAGTCGACTAATAAAGGGTCTGTATAAATTTTATTTTTTTTTAATGCTCTTTGTAAAGTCTTGTTGCTGCAGCGCAGCAACAGGGCAGCCAACCGCTGATTAGGACAAAAAAATAAAAAATTACCTTTATTATCATATAAATAAACAGGATGTTGTTTAGTTATACATTTTAATTTAGTTTCATAACTCATAGGAGATCTTTTTAATGCTGATTCACTTAATTTTTTTCTAGTTTCAATAGATAATTTTTTATTTAAATTTAAATTTTTAATAAAATTTCTTCTTTCTTCAGAAAAATTCTCAGACATTTTTTTTCTAATTTCTTCATTATGTTTGTAACCAAAAGAATTTCCTGCTTCAGTTAATATATTATATTCAGGTAATAAAGTTTTTATATATTTAGTTTCTAACCCTAATAATTCTTTATTATTCGTTCTATTTATTATTTCAGGATAAAATTCTAAAATAATAAAAGCAAAATTAGGTAAACCATATTTTAATACACTATTTTTAATTAATTTACTACCTGATAAATATATTAAATGTCTCATAAAACGAGACATAAATTTATTACTAGAAGCTGAACCTATATAATAATTTTCTGTTACTAAATTTAATACCATATAAATTCCTTGTTTATTTTTTAATTCTTTACTCATTTTATCTCGAGTTTCATTAAGATATAACTCAGTATAAATTTTTTCATATAAGATTTTATTCTTAGACAAGATCAGTAAAGTTCCTAAATTTTTATCATTTATATCTTTATCAATATCTGCCTCATCATCAGTATGATGATGTCTTTTACTATTACCTATAAATAAACTAAACATAAATAAATAACTGTTTATCGTCGATGAACCTATATTTTCAATTAGATAATTATTCAATGATTTTGAGCTATGTTCATAACCCAAGAAAGCTGTAGCCATAACTATTAAAAAGATTACTATACCGGTATACCATAATAAAATTCTAGGTTTAGCATAAGAACCATAATACATACCTTTACCCATATGTAAATATATAAAAATAAAGAAGAATGCAGCAGTATTAGAATGCATATATCTAATAATCCAACCATTGTTTACGTCTCTCATGATATGTTCGATAGATGTAAAAGCTAAGTCTATTGAAGGACAATAATGCCATTAAATCAATCTTTAATATTTTTAATTAAACTATTATAAAAAATTAATTATTAATTATCATTATAATATATATAAATTTTAAATTTAAAATTTTAATTTAATAAAATTTTAGAATGAAATAAATTATAATAAATTATTGTTGTAGAAAAGATAAAAGATATAAAGTTATTATTAAACTTCCTAATAAATTTATATAAATTAAAATTAGACAAAAATTTTTTATTAATTTATTTGTCTTATTTATATTATTAAAAAGTTTTACTAAAAATTCGTAAAATTTTATATTTCCTTTAAAATAATTTAATATATTTTCTGAATATTTTAATATTATATTACGTATAAAATATATATGAAAAACTTGAACAGCAATAAATAATAATATTATTATTATTGATGATAATGCTATATAATCATTAGTAGAAAAAATATCTAGATTATAATTAGGTAAAATATCAGATAAACTAAATAAATCTTCTAACATTGAAGAAGCTATAGGTTCATCTGAATTATCCCTATTATTTATAGATTTGTTATCTTTTATATTAGAGTTACTTTCTATTTTACCCAAAGGACCATTACCTAATTGTCTTCTAGCTATAATTTGACTAGCTAATCCTAACATACCACCACTTATTAATGAACCTGCTATTAATGTAGCACGTACTCCGGGTGTACCTTGATAATATTGACCTACCCAAGAACTAGTTTTTATACCATAATAAATACCTAATCCTAAAAAACTAGAAGTTCCAGCATAGCCAGCTAATTTTAATACTTGTCTAGGGGTAGAAGTTATAGAAAAAGGTTTATCCATAAATGATGATTCTATTCCAGAATCATCATTATTTCCTTCACATAATAAAGGTGATATATTAAACATCTTGTAACAAATAAAAATAAATAAACAAAATAATAAAATATATATAATAACTTTACATAAAATTTTTATAAAATTAATAAATATATTTATATAAAAATTGATATATTTTTTTTTTATAAACCAGGAAATAAATATAATTGTTCTATATTTATTAATATAAAATCTATTAAAAAGTAATAATGCCATTTAATTAATCTTTTATTTATATAGTTATATAATATTTATATATAATCATCATAAAATTTACTCTAATAAAATTTATTTATATTTTATATTTGATTAAAATTTAGTTATATTTGTTACTCCATTTAATAAACTTTTAATAATTTTAAATTTTAATTTAAATGTCTTTATAATTATAACTATTTGAATATTTATATATATAAATCTTGTTATCGAGTTTTTATTTTTTTTAATATATTAATAAAATATATTAAAAAATATTAATATATAAAAAATTATTAAATTTTTATATCAGTTCGTAAATATTATAAACTTTTTTTTTTTATTATTTTTATTAAAAATTTATAGATTTTATTATAAATTTAAGATAAAAATAATTTTATATAGTTTAATAAGATAAAATATTATATAACAATAAAATAAGATTTAATATAATTTTATAAAATTATTTTTTTTAATTTAAATAAATAAAAGATTGATTTATAATCTTAAAATTTTCATTTTAAGTTGGACTATATTTTTATTTTTTTATTTTTAAATATTTTAATCTCGATATGAGTTAAATATAAAATTAATATTTTACGTATAGTCTCTGAAGATTCCTTAATAATTTTTATTATTATAAGTTTCTTGCTGATTATCCATTATAATATCCTTTAAATTATTATTATAATCTCGTTATCAAAGATACTTTTTTTTTTAGGATTTTCCAGCATATAGTAAAATTTTTTAGCTACGCTATAGTCATAGCTAATGTTACACCTGTAATTATTTGAATTATTAAACATACACCTAATAAACTACCAAAATTTCATATATATGAAATATTACTTGGTGATGGTGAATCTATTACAAATTCATTAATTAAAGAAAGAATTGGATGACTTTTTAAATTTTTCATTATAAATTAAAAAAAAAAAATTACTTTTATATAATGTTAAACATAAAAATTTATGAAATAAATTTATATATTATACTTAATTATAATATTTATTATTTTAATTTATAATTTTTTTTTTTTAATAAATATAAAGTAAAATATTATTTTCTTTATTTTATATATATATATATTAATATTTATTATATAATATATATATTTAATTAAAAATAATCTAATGGATATTTGGATGTAGTCAAGTTTGGTAAGGCATCGAAATTTGAATTCGATAATCGGGGGTTCAAATCCCTCCATCCAATAAGGTGGTATAGTTTAAAGTAAAACATTCATCTCATACGTGAAGATTAAGGATTCATACCCTTTACCACTAAAATTATTAAAAACTTATAAGGAAGAAATATTATAATATAATGTATTTATTAATTATTAGTTTACCATTAATTAATGGTATAATTTCTGGTTTATTTGGTAGAAAAATAGGTATAAAAGGATGTCATTTTTTTAGTTCTATTTTACTTTCAATTTCTGCTTTATTATCTTTAATTATATTTTATGATTCTGGTATATCCGGTTCACCTGTTAGATTAAATTTATTAACTTGGATAGATTCTGAAATAATTGAAATAAATTGAAGTTTTTATATGGATAGTTTAACTGTTTCAATGGTATTATTAGTTACTATTGTTTCAGCTTGTGTTCATATATATGCTATAAATTATATGGAAAATGATCCTGCTGGAAGTTTAGGAAAACTTCTATTAGTGGGTTTAAACTATCAAACTCCGGGGACACCCTAAAGCTTATGGTACCAAAGCATAGTCGAAAAACTATGACTGAATGGACTAATTACCCATGTACGATAATAAGTCATAAGATGAGTGAAAACGAAATGGGTTATCACGGATCTAAATCAAAATTTATTGTATTATTCTTTTCAGGTTTAATTTTTTTAATGCCTATAGACCTTATTTATTCTATATTTACAGATAGTCTATTTATATTCTCATCGTTTATACCTATAATGATTTACCATAATGCAGAAATCGAGAAATCTAAAATCTTAAAGAATAATAAAGATAAAACAGGGATCTACCTTTGGACTTATATAAAGTCTGGTAAAATTAACGTAGGTTTTGCCATAGATTTATCTATTCGATTAAATAAATATTATTCTAATAGTTATTTAAATCGGACTAAAGCAAGATATATTCATAATGCTTTATTAAGTCATAAACATTATTCATTTTATGTTTCTATCTTAGAATTTATAGATATATCTAATTTATTTAAAGAAGAAGCTCATAAGTTAATTTTATCCCGTGAACAATTTTATCTTGATCTTATCTTTTCAGTTGATGTACCAAATACCTATAATATAAATAAAATAGCTGGTTTTCTACTAAGATTTAAACATTATTCTGAATCATTAGATAAAAGAAGTGGGGATAATGACTCGATGTTTGGTAAAACTCTTTCTGCAGAAACTAAAGCTTTGATTGATCTTGCTAATAAAGGTAAAATAATTTCTGAAGAGATCAAAGCTTTAATTAGTAAAGTTCATAAAGGTAAAATAGTTTCTGAAAAGACTAAAGCTAAAATCAGTAAGGCTTTGATGAGTAACAAAAATGCTATAAATAATTTAGGTCATAAAAGACCAGAAAAAGCAGGAAGCCCTCCTATTCAAATAAAAGTTTTAAATTTGAAAACAAATCTAAAAACAGTTTATTCCTCAATGAATGAAACTGGTAGGGCTTTAAATATTCCTGAAGAGAGTATTCGAATGTATTTTTCTCGTAAAATCCTAAAACCTTTCAAGGGTAGATATAGAATAAATAAATTATTGAATGAATCAAAATTTAATTTTGTAAAAGAGCAACGAGTAGATGGTAGTTGGACCCATAATCCAGTTGGATTATGGGGGTTTAAGGTATACTCTAACGGGTTTCGAAAGAAATTATCAAATCAAAATCCTTTCTAAACAATTAAATAGAAGAAACTATTCTACCTTAAATTATTCATATTCCTCTTTGAATCCTTGGTTTATAACTGAAATAATAGATGCTGAAGGTTATTTTATGGTAAAGATTATAAAAAACGATAAACTAAAAACAGGTTGGCGTATTTTACTTACTTTTCAAATAAGTTTACATAGTAAAGATCAAATTTTATTAAAATCAATTCAATTATTTTTTAATGGATTGGACTATATATATAAAGAGAAAACATTTTCAGTATATAGAATAAGTTCAAAAAAAGATTTAGCTATATTAATGGATCATTTTAGTAAATATCCTTTAATCACAAAAAAATTTGCTGATTTTGAGTTATTCAAGCAAGTATTAGATCTATTTAATCAAAAACATCATTTAACTTAAGAGGGTTTACAACAAATTGTAAATTTGCGTGCTACCTTAAATAAAGGTTTATCTTTAGAATTAAAAAAAGCCTTTCCTGATTTTAGACCTGTTCCAAGACCATTAGTGAATAATCAAAAGATTAAAGATCCTAATTGATTAGCTGGTTTCACCTCTAGTGAGGGCTGTTTTATGATAGGTGTATCAAATTCAATATTATATAAAACAGGTTTTCAGGTAAATTAAAGATTTTCCGTATCTCAACACAACAGGGATTCTAAATTAATGGAGAGTATAATAGATTATTTCTTTTGTAGACGTTACAGATTACATCTAATACGAAATATTGAGGAGTTTATTGTAACTAAATTTTCTTTCATAGTTGAAATTATTATATCATTCTTTCTTAAATATCTTATATTGGGTGTAAAGGCAATAGATTTTTTAAACTTTAATAAAGTAGCCAAGATAATGAAAGTTAAAGGTCATTTAACAAAATCAGGCTTAAAAGAGATTATTTCAATAAAGGAAAAAATAAATACAAAAAGAGAAAAATAATATTTCTGTTAGACTCTTACTGATTTTTTTTTTAATTTAAGACTTTTTATAATTTTATCTAAAAGATACTAATATTTATAATACAATTAAGATTTAAAATAAGTCAACATGAAAGAGATACTGAATTATTAATATATCTGAACCTAAAGGTTCGGATTCATAAAAATTATATAAATACCCTAATAAACCAGCTATTGTTTATATAGTATTTAATTTTTCAGATATAACTAATATAATTATTCCTTTTTTTGAAAACAATCCTCTGTTGGGTATCAAATTATTTGATTATTTAGATTGGTGTAAATAGCTAAATTAATGAATCAAGGTTCTCATCTTATATTTGAAGGATTAGATTTCATAGATGAGATCAGATTTAGTATGAATAGAGGTAGAAATATAAATGATATTTAATTGCATGATAAATTTGATTGCTGTGCACAATCAAAGATTTTTTTCATATTTATCTTTATTCACTTTTTTTATGTTAATTTTAATTTGTGCTGATAATTTTTTAATTTTATTTATTGGTTGGGAAGGTGTTGGTGTTATGTCTTATTTATTAATTAATTTTTGGTTTACTAGATTAGAAGCTAACAAAGCTGCTATGTTAGCTTTATTAATGAATAGAATAGGTGATTGGACATTTAGTATTGCTATTTATATAATGATTTTATTTTTTGGTGCTTTAGATTTTGCTTCAGTATTTGCTATAACTTATACTATAAATAATAATTATATTACTTTAGTTTCTATCTTATTATTTATTGGTTGTATGGCTAAATCTAGTCAATTAGGTTTAAATTTATGGTTACCTCAAGCGATGGAGGGTCCTACACCAGTTAGTGCCCTGCTTCATGCTGCCACGATGGTCCAATGTAAAAATTCAACATATTTAAATAACTTAAAAAAACAAATAACTATTAATAATTCAAAAACTTTAAATAATTTTTACCAAAAAAATTCTTTAAACCCTTGGTTTATAACTGGATATACAGATGCAGAAGGTAGTTTTTCTATAAAAATATCTAAACCAAGACATGATTCTAGATTCTATGTAAATCTTATATTTTCAATTTGTGCTGAACAAAATAAACCTAATTTAATCTTAATGGAAAAATTAAAAGAATTTTTTGGTATAGGATTTATTTCTAAATCAGGAAATATGTATTTATATCAAGTAGTTTCTCATAATAATTTAGGGATTATTCATAAACATTTTGAACAATATCCTTTACAATCTACTAAATTTATATATTTTAAATTATGGTGTAAAGTATTAGATATGATTTTGAATAAAAAACATTTAACTCAAAAAGGATTTTATCAAATATTAGCAATAAAAAGTATATTTCCTAAAGGTTTAAGTTCATTAATAAAAGAAAATTTTACAGATATACCTAAATTTATAAAACCAGAATTTAATCCAAAAATTGAACCTTTAAATGGTCATTGGATAGCAGGATTTGTAAATGGGGATGGATCATTTGGTTTAAATTATTTAAAAAATAAAAATAAATTAGGTTTTGGTTGTAATCCTTCTTTTAGAATTAGTCAACATTTGAGGGACTCAATTTTACTGAATCAGATTGTTTATACTTTAAAATGTGGTTATATAAAACAACCATATTCAAATAGAGAAAGAACAGATTTTTCTGTAACAAAATTCAAAGATTTAACAGAAATAATTATACCTTTTTTTTATAAATATTCCTTATGAGGTTCTAAAGCTTTAGATTTTCAAGATTTTTGTTTAGGAATAGAATTAATGAAAAATAAAGAGCATTTAACTAAAGAAGGTTTAAAAAAAATAAAAATAATATATAAAGGTATGAATTCATTTAGAAAATTTATATAATTAATTTAAATTTTTTATTTAGTTATTTAAATAAAATAGAATTTGTTGCCAATGAAAATTATATATTAATTTTCATAAATAAAATTTGTTATATGCTGGAAGTTCCTAAAGCTTAAAGTACGAAATAAAATAAACGTAAAAATCTTAAAGATGTAATTGTTAAATAATAATATAATCTTAACAAAAAAATTACAATGGATAATCAGCAAGAAACTTGAATAATGTATATTTTATTTTCATAATCTTCAGAGACTAAATGCAAAATTATTTTTCAATTCATTGAAAAATAAAATATATAGTCCAAACAGATATTAAAATATCTGTATTAATGAACAGCAGGTGTATATTTAGTAATGAGAGCTTCACCAGTATTTGAATATTCTGATACTGTATTAGCTATAATTACATTAATAGGTTGTACAACAGCATTATTTGCAGCATCAATAGCATTAGTACATAATGATATAAAAAAAGTAATTGCATATTCTACAATGTCTCAATTAGGTTATTGTTTTTTAGCTTGTGGTATTAG